AACAGCTGACAGAATAAAACCCAGTCATTAATAATACAAATAAATGAAAGTAAAAAAAAAAAAAAGCAAAGCTGGAAAGAGCTTTAACAGTAAGAAAGAGTGAAATAAAAATCACCACTTGTCTTGAATCCATCACAGAGCTGAGATCACAGGGCAAATGAGTAGCCTAAAATCCAAGGAGTCAATCCACACTCCCACCCCGCCCCCATGCATACCACCAGGGCAAGTTTCACCCCTAGCAGAGTATGGGAGAAAGGCAAGCAGGTAAGGAAAAGAAATCAGCAAAAATTTTAGGGCGAGGGTGACAGTGTAAACCCCCTTGGAAGATGCAAACACAAGGGAAGTTCACACTCCCTTCCTAGGGCCTTTTCACAGACCTCCCCTGATCCTCTTAGGAAATACTAGAGCAGGCCAAGAGACTAGAAATCCTCCCTGGAGGGTGCAGACAAGGAGGAGATCAGCCACTGCTGCCAGAAAAGCATGTAACCCTGAAACCCTCTAGGGCAGAGGTAAACATCCATTCTGTGTAGGAAAAAGAAAGAAAGAAGAAGTACTAAAACTTCTACCCTTGAGGGCAGGGAAGGAAACAGTCCTGCATGCAGTATCCTCTACCAGTAAAGACGGGGACGGTCCCTGACATTCTCACACAGGATCTGTGGTAGATACACACCATGGGGACAAGGAACAAAAATATTAAGAAGACCCATCCCCAAGGTCTAGCCACACTGTGCCTACTTAAGATAAATGCTGGATCTCCCTCACATACCTATCCCCAGCCTAACAAGCACTGAGCAATAAGCAACAGCAGTCTACTACTAGGGGAGGGGCAAGAGTATGGAGACACCCCCCCAAACCCCCTCAACCTCTGCACTGTACTCTCTACTCTCCCCCCAAAACTACAAGACAGAAAACTGATCAGGACCTAGAACACTGAAGAGAAACCTTCCACAGCCCAGCCCCCACTCAAAGCACAAAGTGACAGTACAGAAATATGAAGCCAATGGTAACCATAGCAACAATAAAACCAAAACCTAGATCAACTGACTGGATTGACTCAAGGCTATGACAGAAGGGGCATGCACATTTCCAGGCATAAATACCACGTACTTCAGTCTCGACTGTTCTACACAAAATGTCTGGCAGTCCACAAAAATTTTTGAAATACTTGAAGAAAAATAACCTCAGAAGAGGAAAAGAACCAGAGTCAGAGATGATACAGTGGCCTTTTTTTTTTTTTTTTTTTTACCAGAATCTGCCACTGGCAAACCATGGTTTATATTCATGGAGGAGCGGGGAGATTCAGAATGATAAGAGATAAGAGAAAAAAAGCAAGCCTCTCTGTCTCAGATCCTGATTTTTAAAAAAAATAGCCATGAAAAAACTATTTTTAGTATATTATAAAGTCAGTATATTTAATTTAAAAATTAAAACCACAACTAGAATTATGAATACTATGATCCTCTTCAAGCTACTGAATAACTCATTGTCAGGCATAAAAATATTGCTAATAATTTTTCATATTTTTAAGTATGCAAACTCCTTATACTATGTTTTTTAGGTTAGTGAAATTATTTTAAAAGTTGTACTAGAATACAAATTTAAAGAAAATGTAAAATGAAAAATTTCTCTAGGACAAAAAAAAACCATTTAAATATAAAATATTCTCAAAATAATTGCTATCCCTAATAAACAAATACTTTAAGAAAGCAGAAAAATGAACAACCCAATGGAAACATGGGCAAAATATATAAATTAGAAGTACACTGAAGAAACACAGAGATTGATGATATCCAGGGTTGTTAGGAATATGGAAAACTGGACACTCTCACTCACAGCTGGGTAGGGATGTAAATTGGCACAACCAATATTCTCCAACTTCTCAACAAGAAAAGATAATCCAGCACTATTCACACTCAAAGGAAGCCTCCTTTCTAGTTATATTTCCACCATCTCTTTCTTTTCTTTTTTAATCTTTATTGTTGAAAGTATTACATATGTCCCCCTTTCCCCCCCTATCAGCCCTCTCCAGCCCACCCCCACCATCTTTCTCTTTATCCTATATTCAATTCATATCAGACTGTATTACATCCATATCATTTACTTTCATGCCTCTATATCACTGAAACACCATTCTCAAATCCCCCTGCAAAACTCTATCTTTCAAGAGCCAGCTCAAATACTTCTTGCACTACTTTCCTTCATCTGTGATCCCATAGCACTTGATCCATTCCTCTACCACAACAGTTAAAACATGTTAAAGCTATTGTGCAGATATTTGACAATTTATAATATACAGAGAGCTTCTGTTAATCAACAAGCAAAAAAAAAAAAAAAAAAAAGAACAGGACATGAGCAGAAAATCCACAGTAAAAAATAAATAAACTGCTCTTAAATATATGAAAGATATACAACCTCAATAATAAAAGAAATACAAATTAAAACCATGATGAAACCATTTATTACCTATCAAATTTGCAAAAATGAAAATTTTGACTACACACTTATATGGGAAAATAGGCATTCTAATAATACTTGCTGGTAAGGACATAAACTGACAAGATCTCTGTAAAGGCAAATTGCTATTACCTATCAAAATTATAAATGCACACATCTTTTTTTGTATATCAAAAAGGAGAGTTTTTTTGTTCTTAATTAAAATTGTTTGTTTTTTATATTTTATTGATTTCAGAGAGGAAGGGAGAAGGAGTGAGAGATAGAAACATCAATAATGAGAATCATTGATCAGCTGCCTCCTGCACACAACCTGGACATGTGCCCTGACTGGAAATTGAACCGTGACCCTGGTTCATATGTCGACATTCAACACCGGCCGGGACACATGTTTTTACTCAACAATTCTACTTCTCAGAATTTATACTATAAACATATTCATAATATTTTACAAGATCTATGTACATGACTAGTCATTGCAGGATCATTTGTAATAGCAAAAGATTGAAACAATTAATGTATAGCAATAGGAAAATGGTTAAATTATGGTAAATTCACACAATATAACATATCCATGTTCACTGCAGCATTATTTCCAATAGCCAAAACATGGAAGCAACCTAAGTATCAATTGATGGATGGATGGACAAAGGAAATGTGGTATATACAAGGTAGGGCAAAAATAGGTTTACAGTTGCTCATATGGAAAATAAGACAAGAATAAACTCTGTGTTTCGTGTACTCAACTGTGGAATATTATTTAGCCACAAAATCTTGTCATTCACAACATGGATGGATCTTGAAGATATTATGCTAAGTGAAATAAGTCAGAGAAAGTTAAATACTATATGATCTCACTTATATGTGGAATAAGGGGGGGGAAAGAGAATAGATTAGTGGTTGTCAGAGGCAGAAAGTGAGGGGTAGGCAAAATGGTCAAAAGGTACAAACTACAATAAATAATGGGAATGTAATGTACAGCATGGTGACTGTAGTAAATAATACTGTACTGTATCTTTGAAAATTGCGGAGAGAGAAAAATCTTAAAAGTTCTCCTTACAAGAAAAAGAAGTTGTAACTCTCTGATAATAAGTGTTAACTAGCCTTATTGTGGTGAACATTTCACAATATATATAAGTATCAAATCATTATGCTGTATACTTGAAACTAATATGTTATATGTCAATTATAACTCAATAAAAAAAAGAATGACTAGACAGTTCTACCTGAAACAATCTCCAAGATATGTGGAGATATATCTGGAGATTGTTCAAAGTAAGCAAGAACAGAACAGCGTATATGGTTAAAAGTTAAAAGTAAGCAAGAACAGAACAGAGTATCTGCTGAAATAGAAACTATTTTCCTCTACTCACAAGAATTCTGACACCAAATGCACAGGCTTTTTTCCCACACCATCTAATTCTCTGGCATCAGGTAGGTGTCCTACAGTTGAATACAATTCTGACGGTAGCTACCTGGTTTAGCATTAGATCCCACAAGTTACAGGCTCAGACTCATGAGACTGCCTTCCCTGCAAATGCCAATCACAAGTCCAGGCTTCCAGTACTTCTGACCAACAAGCTATAAATCTGGGTGTAGCACAATCCCCTCCTCAGGCTTCATAATTTGCTAGAATGCCTCACAGAACTCAGAGAAACCCTTAAATATTTACCGGTTTCTTACATAATAAAGAATATGATAAAGGATACAGATGAACAGCTAGATAAGTCGGTATATAGGCCGAGATCCAGAAGGGTCTGTCCCCATTGGGTTGGGAGCACTACACTCTGACACATAAATTGTGTGCACCAACCTAGAACCTCTCTGAACCCCATAGTTCAGAGATTTTTATGGAGGCTTCATCATGTAGGCATGATCAATTATGAACTCAATCTTAGTCTAGGCCTTCTCCCCTCCCTGTAGGATGGAGAGTGGGCTGAAAGTTCTAAGCTTCTAACCATGTTTTGGTCTTTCTGGTGACCAGCCCCAATCCAGGAGCCCACCAAGAGTTGCTTTGTTAGTAAAAAAGTGCTCCTATCACCCAGGAAATGACAAGGGTTTTAGAAGCTCCGTATCAGGAAATGGGTCAAAGACCCGATATAAGAACAAAAGATGCTCCTAGCATCCCTAAAACTCAGGAGATTTTCAAGGGTTTTAGAAGCTCTGTGTCAGGAACTGGGCAGAGACTAATGTAAATATATATTATGTCACAAAATCCTAGCCTCAACACTTACTAGCTCTGTGATGTTGCACAAGTTACATAATCTATCAGTGCCTTGCTTTTTGTTTCTAAAAGAGAATAACAATAGCTTCCACATAAGGTTGTTGTAGGGATTAAACTCATAATTGAATGTCAGTATTCAATAAATATTAAGTAGTGTTTTAAGTTATATATTTTATTCAGGACTATAAAGTCAAGAAAGCAGAGATGATAGACTTTTACAACTACATGTCCCTGTATCTGTTTATGGAACTGAGCATAATCTTTTTAATCAAAATTTTAGATGATAGCAAATGAAATAACTAAAAAAAAAAAAAAAAATACTTACCTCCTAGCAGCAGCAGCAGCAGCAGCAGCAAAATGTCTATTAGGCACATGAACACATGCAGAACAAGGATAAAGAGGTGTCTGATAAGGCATCTTGGAAAGATTATGCCTTTGATGTATCAAGACTTGAAAGAAAAAAACATGTAAAATATTAATAAGTGATAATTGCATTCACAATTTTTATATTCTTAATCAGTGTTTTCCAGAACAAAAACATTCAATATTTTGTGATTCTTAACCATTCTTTAAAAAGTGTAATAATGGACACTCCACTTCTTAAAACTAAAGCCAAGTAAACACAACAAATTGAACAATTTTGTCTTCACTTATTTTTAACTTAATCCAGTTCAGGCTCAAAGTACGTTACAGAATATGTATGTCTGTCCTGAATATATAAAATAATTTAAATTTTACTCGTTTTTAAAAATAGATAATACATTCACAGAGTTGCTGAAAGCACTTCTGAAAGATACGAAAAAAGTGAAGGAACTGCCTCACCAGAGATCAAGACTTGTTATAAAGCTATGGAAATTAAGACTGTGGTATTGGCACAGGCATAGAAAGACCAAGTAATAAGACAATAAACAGCCCAACAACAGATTCGTGCACATATGGATATCTGAAATATGTAAAATGGGGGTGATGCTAGATGATGCTTCCACCTAAAGACCTATCTTAATTAAATAACTATACACATCACTGTGCTTCGAAAACACAACACAGAACAAAAATTAAAGAGCAATGTACCAAAAAAGGGCTGTCATCCTGGCCCTTAACTGGACCTTCTGAACTGCGGAGGAAGAGTTGCTACCAAGAAGGATGCCTGAATTAGTCACCAAAGGACAACTGCTGATCCAAATTAGGCAACGTCTTCGGAAGCTTAAGAACTGAAATCACCTGCAACCATGTAGCACCCTGAACGCACCAACAAGCATTTTGTAAACGTTCAAGTTTACAGCTGTGAGCCACACACATTCCTTTGCAGAACCTTTTCCTTTTCAGAACTCACTTCGCCTGGCTGGCCAACTCCTTTCTCTGCCTGCACCCCACCAGTCTCGGAGACAGAACCCCGTCCTGGCCTCGGCCGCTGCGAGTGGCCGGAGGGGTGTCGGTGTACATCCTCCTCCCATTCCACTCCTAGGGTGGACGGCTCCAAAGGGGGTGAGGCCGCAGAGAAGGTCGCTTTTCCATAGCAAGGACCCTCGAGAACTTTGAGCCCAAAACGAGGAGGCTTTCCCAGCCCCCAGCGCAGACCCGTGCGTAGGAGTCTGGCTTGCACTCTGTACAAGAGGAGACTCCGCGCCACCGGTCTTTTCCCCCGGAGCCCACACAACGCCGGGCTTTACCTCTACTGAGGCACCTGACGGCCGCCGCCATGTTAACCATTCCGGATTGGGCTGATGAAATTGGTCCTACGCTTCCACGTGGAAGAAATTTTGAAAGGGTTCCCTTCCGGAGTTGGCGGAGGGGGAAGAGATTGGGAGGAGCAAGAAAGGGGCAGGAACCAAAATCGGCTTTGGTGCCGGGTGGGAAGGGCGCGGGACGGCGTGCCCCGTGGCGGTGTTCCCCCCTCAGCCCTCCGTGCTGCCCGGGACTCCGCGTTTCAAGGTTCCGGTAGGAGAGCGTAAACGTTTTCCAGGAAATCTGCTCTTCCTGCAGAACACGGTCCTGCTGGCGGTGTCCTAACCATTTTAATTTTTGATTCTGCAAGTGTACGATCGTTTTAATAGATGGTGAGAGTACCTAGGAGAAGCATGAAAAATAGAAAATCTGGAGAATCTCACCAGCTTCCACCGCCACGTCTCCAGTCTTGTAAAGACTTTAAAAATTCGCTAGGCTGTCCACTACACGCAAGGCGGGTGCCCCAATCACTAACAAACCTTTTAACTCAGCGCAAGATCAGAGGGGGTTTAAGGTCATATTTATCAGCTCTACATGTTGCCCCTGCTGGCTAACTATGGCATTAGGATCAACTGAAGAACAAGACTTAACAGGTTTATATAACACTATTAGTTTTAATATGGCAGATGTAAGACCTACGCACAGGTTATTCTGACTGGGGAGGAAAAAAAGTGAACCAGTATTCTTCCCATCACATTACAGCTGACGGTGTGATTTATCTAAAGCAAATCTGGTCACAGATTGTGTCACTTCCCAGTTTAAATCCCTCCAGGGACTACCTCGGAAGCTGCTTCTGCCTCCACCTACCTCCCCAGCCTCAGTCTTCCTGCCAACACCCTCCCCGCTCCCACACCCAGGGTTTCTCGTCACCCCGCTGCTCATTCTGCCCCCTCTGTTTGGAATATCTTGTACCACATCACCCAGGTAACTTTTTTTTAAAGATTTCAGCTCAGACTTTAATCACTGATGAAGCCTCCCTTCTCTCTTCCCAGACTGAGTTATGACCATCTCTTCATGACTCTGTACAGTACCCAGGGCTTATATCTGGTTTTGTTTGTTTTTAAAGAGTTTTATTGATATTTAATTTACATACCAAACAATCCACCCATCTAAATTGTACAATTCAAACATTCACAGAGTTGTGCAACTATTCCCATAATATTTCTGTTTTCCCCATCAATCTGAGCTCAGTGTGGGCGGAAATCATGTCTTGTTTATTTTTTTAACCTCTGTTTAAAAATGAGTTTTATTTGTGAACAAATGCCAGGATAGGAGCAAATTTACCAAATCCATTCAGACAAAACACCCAGATTAGAGGTGCTGGTCCTTAGACTCTACACCCCTCCTTTTCCGTAGCCAGAGTCGGTTGGCCCCCATCTGTGTACTTCTTTATGTCTCCTTTCAAAACGAGAGAATTTAAATATTCAATGTGGAACTCAAGTAGTGTGCTTGTAAGCCCTATTAAAACAATGTCCTATAGTGGTGCAGCTTCTTTACCTAATTGCTCACTTTGAGCACTAGAATTTGATGACTTTAGTCAGTGGGATTCAGAGTCCAGTTATCTATATATAACAACATAGAAAAAGGTTATTTAGTTTGAAGCTTATAATAGCTACAGAAATCTACACTGAGAAATGGGGAACTCCAAGACTAAATGTTTAATACATATGAAGTTCTCATTGAAGAGAGGCAGTAGAACATTCTGATTAAGCAGGGGTGTTCTGAAGCTAAATTTCCTAGGTTTTGAATCCCAGTGTCACCACTTACTAGCCATATGACCCAGGGCAGCTTACTATATCTCTCTGAGCTCAGATTCCTCATCTGGGACTAATAATGAGATAATTTAGTAAGGTACTTACTACAGTACCTGACACAGAATAAACACTCGTTTAATGTTAAGTGTTGTCATTAGTAAGGAACCAGTGAGAGTTCTTAACCAGAGAGGCAAAATGAATATGCTGTTCTAATATCCCTTCTTCCAATATCTGCTTATTTCTTAATATACCTGCTATTCTTATCCCTACATGTGCTAGGATGTCACTTTCTTTATATCAGAACTTTTATTCGTATTTGAAGAAAATCTTTAGACCGTGTTTATGCACTTCCTCAAAGTTCACTTTAAAACAACTTTTTCCAGTTGATTTCTAGAAAGGCTTATATCCTCTAGGAATCTTGGCAACATGCCAGCTGCCTGCCTGCTTGGCTAAGCAAAGCTTTTAAATATTTGCTTAGCCCTGTGATTCTCCTGATCTGTGTTTTCTGCCTCCCTCAACCATCTTCCAGTTGAACTGAAGACTTCATTGCAAGAAGAGTCACTTCTCATTTGGGGTTCAAATTGAAATTGGGTCTTATTGGACCAAAAAAAGGAACTCCATGATACTTCCTACTTCCGTGTGTGCATCAGAATTACCCAGAAGACTTGTTAAAACTCAGATTGCCAGGCTCCACTGCACTGAGTTTCTGATCCGTAGGCCTAGGGTGGGCCTGTGAATTTGCATGTATAATAAGTGTTCAGGTGATGCTGATGTACTGGTCCAGTACCACTCCCTCAGTAATACTATGAAACATTTGCATCCTACCTATCATTAACTTGGGGAGGAGTTGTTGTTTTGTTTAATAATTTAATGCTCCATATAATATAGGCAATAAAAACATGAAATTCCCCACCTGGTGTCTTTAGGGCCAGAATCTACCCACTCTTATCTTCTTCTCCTCTATACAGAAACTGCTACTGCACACCTGATTTCAGCTCCTAAACTAGCCAGCTGTCAGCTGGGAAAATGTCCAGTGTTTGCCTATCTGCATTTTAAATATTACCAACTCCTAGATTACCTTCCTTCCTTGGGCTTACTTCAGACTCAGATTATATTTTCATAAAGAAATTACTATCTAGAATAGTAATTTCTTAGTCATAAAGTTGAAAGTGTGGAAGGAATTGGAATCATTTTGTCTGTCTTCCCTCCCCCATATATGGGTGCTTCTCTTCAAAAATCCCTAGGAGACTAAATCCTAGATTGCCCAGTGGAATTGCTGGTAAGTGTTTAACAACTGTCTCCTGGTACAAAGGAAATGAATGTGTAACATGTGCCTATCTCCATGGTGTAAATGTTCACACAATAGCTGATTTCAAGCTACCAAACATGAAATCAACTAACTCACAAAATTTCTGACAATGTCACACTTGGTTCTCACGTGGCTATAGATCACTACTGGAAGTTTGCTGGTAAAAGCCTTTGGTAACTTTCAGAAAGACTAAATCAAATCAGTTCATCTTAGAGCTACACTTCTCAAACTGAACCGTGAATGCAAATCACCTGGAAATCTTATTAAAACGTAGATTCTAAATTAGTAGGTCTGGGGTAAAGCCTTAGATTCTGATATCTAACAGTCTCCTCAGTGGTGTTGATGTTGCTGCTCTATGGACTACACTTTGAGTAGCAAGATCCTACAACACATCCTAGAGCAAAATTCATATTTTTATCATTAGTCCCAAACCAGAACTTTTAGAAAAAGTTCTCTCTTCTATACAGAGAATAATTTAAGTAGATCTCCAAATTTCTAGTATAACCTCCATGACCTCCAACTTTCAGTGGAGATTACAGAAATATCAATATTTCCTGCCCAGCCCACATCTGCTTCTGGTAGAAACCTCCTTCTCCTACAGAAGTAAAATTCCCCAGTCCCAGCTATTTGGATCAGTGGAAGCCATCTGATCCAAGGGAAGTCCATCCATTCTATAGCCAGTGATCTGGGCTTGAAAAGAAAAGCTGTGCCAATTATTCTCATGAAACTAAAATTGGGAAAATGAAAGACTAGAGAAAAAAGAGAAAGACAACATTTTCTTTGCTGTGAAAGGACTCATGCTATAAGGTCATGGAGTAGATTCAAGGCTAGAGAAGACTTCAAAGGCAAGCTGAAATTAATTAACAAGTAGAAAAGATGTCTGAGTAGAGTTACATGAAGCCAGTCAAGAATAGAATGGAGGGAGAATGCTGAGAACAGCAGATACCATGAAGAAGAAAGAGATCGACCAGCCTGAGAGGAAGATAGCAGATGCGGCTTCAGTTCCTGTTACAGTTTCCGTCAAGTCCGCTGTATCACTGTCCCTCTCCCTGCGTCTTGTGAGATCCCTGTCTACCATATATTTTTCTACAATAACCCCTGGTTTCTTGAACTTAATCAAGTGAATTGTTATGTATATTAAACAAAAAACTAATTTAAAACATGGAACTGTAGTTTTTCTGGTCATAATGCATGAATTGGCAGCTCTCTGCCAGAATTAGTTGTAAATAAAGCCTTAATCATGGAATTTCACAGTTTGAAAAACTTTTGAAGGTCTATCTACCTGATGTATAACCCTCTGTATAATTCCCTGCTTGAATTGTTGGTGACAAACTCTCGTAAGGTAGTTCCTTCTATTTTTGGACAACCCTAATTGTTAAAATTGTTCCATACAGTATTAAAGCTAGAATCATCTTCTCTACTAGTAATGTGGACCTAATTGAACTTTTTGGGTCAATTCCATTTTCACATGGCAAACTTCCTGCTAATGACAACAGCTATCATGCCTCTTGAGTCT